CGTCCACATTGATCCAGATCGTGTCCTGACTGCACCCCTGCTTCCCAGGCTGCTCAAGCACTGGAGAGCCAGAACACGGGTGACAGGGACTCTCAAGTGCCCCGACGCACTTCCTGGGAGAAGTCCCTGTGGGTAGTTGGATTCTTCATGTCCCTGGTCACAGGTTTGAGCTGTGACCTCAGCAGAAGCACTGAGGACACCCCAGGCCCGCCTGTCATCCCTGGGCCTGGGGCTGAGGCCCTCAGTTGGCATCCCTTGCTGGACTCGAGGCCCTTTCTTCAGCTCCAGCAGGAGGTGACAGGCCAAGCAGAGGAGCTGCCCCAGGATCAGGGACACTTGGGGACCTGCCAAGGGCTGGCTCCCAAAGCAGAAGCTGCTTCTCCTGGTTTCCTCAAACTTCAGGTCCTCATCGGGAGGCTGGGCCTGTGCTTTCAGCCGTGTGGTCAGCCGTGGTCTGAGAGCCGTGGTTGGAGAGCCAGCGAGAAGGGACTCTTCACTGGGCCTGGGGAGTCCAGCTTGGAAAAGCAAAATTGACCCGAGGCCAAATGCCCCTCTCAGATCTCCCAGAGCCTCAGCCTGACGACAGGCAGCACAGCCAGGAGGCCCCAGGCTTCAGCGGGCAAGTAGCCATCTAGGCCAGGAGTCTCTGGAAGCACGGGTGGCCGGGACCCTCTTCCTGGGACATTTCTGTGGCTTGGGTGCTGGCCGTCAGAAGTGGACATTTTGAGCAGTTCTCCCACATCCTCTGCTCTCCCAGGAGCTGGGTGGGCCCTGGATGTGGAAGTGGGGATATGCATGGTTCCTTCCCAGGATGTCTGGGCAGGGAGAAAGCAGAGTGCTCCGTGCTCCGGGCGCCACGCTGAGGGGTGGCATGGCTCACCCAGATGTAGGCCCAGGGAAGGCTCCGCCAGGAGCAGACAGAGAAACTGCCCCTGGAGGCCTGGTGGCCTGGAGGGTGCAGAGCTGCGTCAGAGGGAAGGCAAGGGGTGCTCAGGAGTGGACGCACAGTCCAGCTTCCTCAGGGAAGCCGCCCGGCACATCGACCTCTGCCCCTCCCCACCCTGGGTTCAGGACGTCCTCCGTGGGTCTCCACAAGGCGGCCCTTCTGCAGCCCCCCTCCCGGATAAGGGAGGTGGGGAGTCAGGATGATGCTGGGAAGGCAGAGGGGAGGGACTGGGCGTGCCAGGGTGATGTCTGTCCCCACCACCTGCCTCTGAGCCCACAGAGGCCCCTGGAACACCCCCCGATCCTGCTCCTCTCTCCCAAGTCCCAGACCTGGGATGCCCACAGGGCGGGAGACACTTCGTGGTGGGCGTGTCCACACCACAGAGTGGCTGGGGCCGCCCACTGAGGCTTCTGCCCGTGTTACCTGCACAGTGCTGCAGAGCCGTCAGACTGGCAGGTGAGGGCAGAGGGGACGGTCACCGTCCCCAGGAGGACCAGGGTTCACAGTGCGTTCCGCACCATGAGGAAGCAGCACAGCTTGAGCACACTTCCACGCGTCCCCTGGGGGGACAGCCTGAGCTGGCCTCCCTCCCTCCCTGGACCGTGGAGCCCTCTGTCCTGACACATCCCTCTGGACCTCCCACCTGAGGTCACACCTGTGCACAGCTGGGGGGGGGGGCAGAGTCCAGCTGGGGAGGAAAAGGGAGCAGGTCCTGTTCTTCACAGGCCCCCTTGAGCTCCAGGTGCTGATGAGGGGGACAGCAGAAAGGCACAGGGTGGCTGGGCCCCAGAAGACCAGAAATGGTGAGGAGGATGCTCCCAGAGAGTCCAGGCTGCACCATGGGTGTGAAGAGGCTGCAGCCGTCCCAAGAGGGCCAAGGCTTGGGGGAGGACCCCGCCTCCTCTTCTCCTATCGGGAGGGGAGGCAGACGACCTGCTGAACTGGACCCATGGTGCAGGATTTCTGGAGACAGTCACTCAGCCTGGCAGTACCAGGCTGAGCACAAGGACTGGGACCCAGGAGGCCCCTGAGGCTTTCCTTAAGTGTGAGGTAAAATGACATGGAGACAAGCCATGACTGACAGGAGGGCAGGCAGCAGGTGTGGGCCAGGTCCTCCAGCTCCTGCTGCTCTGAGTCCAGCACCAGCCTCCGAAGCCTGGGAGGGTGAGAGGCAGTGGGGAGGCAGGTGCCCTCCTCGGCAGGGACGGCCTCAGTGGATATCTCAGCCACCTGCAGGACGCTCCCAGGCCCACACAGTGACCATGCTAATGGGCAGAGTTGATCCTGGCTGGAGAAGACCTTGGGCATGATGGGGGCATGGCTGCCCACAGGTTCCGTTCCCCTCCGTTCTGGCCAGCTCAGGTTTCAGGGTAGCCCTGCAGAGTCAGGCTGTTCTGCCTCTGGCAGCCTCTGCACACCCTGACACTCCTGCCGTGGGGTAGGGGCTGAGGAAGCAGACCCCAGGGGTTTTTTTTTTAATATTTATGTTTTAGTTCTCGGCGGACACAACATCTTTGTTGGTATGTGGTGCTGAGGGTCGAACCCTGGCCGCACGCAGGCCAGGCGAGCGCGCTACCGCTGGAGCCACATCCCCAGCCCGGACCCCAGGGTTTCCAAAGATGAAGCCGGAAGGCAGCACAGTCTTTCCTAGCTGTGCTCTGGCTGCCAGACCTGGGGACGGGATTCTGCAACAGAAAAATATGCCTGAGTTTTGGGGCGACCTGCTAGGAAAGCCCCCATATGTGGGAAGTTCCCCCTGCAGGGGAAGCTGGCCGGAGAAAGCCCACAGAGACAAGCAGCAGTGCGCTCCCCGCCTTCCATCATCTCCTGCATTTCATAACAGGATGAAAACAGGGCTGTCAGAAAGCTCTGGGAGGCACCCAGCGGCACAGCAGGCCAGAGGCGGCAGGATGGCCCGGCTGGACCCCGGCTGCTCTCGGCAATGGCGGGAGCCAGGGACGGGACTCCTCCCACAGAACCGCCTTCTGTGCTTCCTAGGTCTGCAGGAGGCAGCTGAGCAGTGTTTGGAAGTTCTGCTGTGAGTCCAGCACCTGATCTGTCCTAAACCTCCAGCTGAATTTGGTCACAGGGACTGGAGGGTTTATGGACCAAGGTTTTGTGGACACCGACTACAAATATCAGCGTTTAGTAGCCCACCACAGCAAACCAGGCGTGAGTTTTCTTGGTATAATTCTTCTTGCGTTTCCCCTTTCACTTGACAGGATGATAGGGACCCTCTGGTGATCCTAGGCCCCTCTCAGGGGCAGGAGAGTGTCCTTTTCCTGTTCTCTCTATCTGACACACCAAGAGAACCCGAAGCGGGAGAGGCCTCCGGACAGCAAGCTGCTGCACTCGCGGTGAAGGGTGCGCTGCCCAGCTGCTGGAGAACCCCTTGCTGCAGCGTCCCTGTGTGGCGAAAGTCAGACGGAGATCTCAAGATTCTGTCCCTCCAGATCCCCGCCAGGCAGGCCTGCTCACCTCAGAGTGCGCGTCAGGCCCCCTCCTCTGCACGGACTGCCCACTGCCTGGGGTGGCGTGCCCCCCATCATTCCACTTACTGGCTCCGGGCTGCACGGGGCAGGAGGGGCACCAGACGGGCTGGACGCGGACTTGCTTGTGCAGGTGCAGTCCAGTGAGAGGCCACCTGGCCTTCCACCTCCTGGCTGCAGGGTCAGCCCACCTGACTGGCAGGTGTGGAGGCAGTGACAGGAGCCGAGGCTCTGGGACGCCATCCCCGGCTGTGGGCCGCCCAGCTCCCACCCATTTCAGTGCATCGACCCACAGGGAACCAGGTCTTCAACCCCACGGCTGAGTGAGGAACTGGGCATGTTTCACTCCAAGCAACCAGCCAGCAAACGAGAATCCAGGTAAGATAAGGAGACTTCCCCGGGCAGGTGCTCATCAGCACCCTGGAAACCAACAGCGGCAGCTCTGCTATTCCTACAGCCCCCAGCAGGTGGTGGTGTCTGACCGCCGTCCACCCAGAAGCCACAGCCCAAGTGAGTCCTGACCTGTGGTATTCCACCAGCTCAGAGCCCAGCTCTGGTGGACAGCCCTGAAGGGGCTTGCTTTCCCAGGGTCACTGCCCTCCTCCCTGGCCTGCAGGAGGCCAGGAGCCCAGTGCAGAAGAGGAGAGAGGGACAGAGGCTGTGCACCACGCGCCCCGTGCCCAAGCAAGCAGTAGCAGCAGGATGTAAAGCCTGCCAGCTGTGGCCAGATGTGGGGGAGAGAAATGTGTCCCAAAGGCCCACGGGTCAGAGGCTTGGCCCCCAGGGCGGCTCTCCAGGGAGCTGGGGCCACATGGAAGGTGGCAGGTCACTGGTGGCGTATCATGAAGGGTGCCGCGGGGGCCTGGTCCTTCCTCTCCTCCTATGGCCTCAGGCATGAGGTGAGCAGCTCTGCTCCCGGGTGTTCTCCCAGGGAGGGGGGCCCGTGACCCTGAGCAGAAACCTTCCTTCTGTAAGCCAATGATCTCGGGTGTTTGCTATAGTAATGGGAAGGAGACCGCGGGCATGGCAGAAGGCAGAACAATGTCAAACACCTGGGGTGGTCGTGGTGGAAATCATGTTCTAAGGCTGAGTACGTGCATTTAATGCAAACTCCCCAGGAGGAACAAATTAGACAATCTTTACAAAAAAGGGTGAGACACGGGTAACCTTGTATGATTTATTTGTCTGCGCCTTACAGTAACTAGAACGTAATGCCAGATTTGCCTGTATTGGGCGAAGGGTCTTGGGGGGACATTTGAGCAGAACTGTTTTGCACCTAGAGTCTCCTGGTTCAGCAGGAGTGGGCAGCCTGGGGGTCCCGGGCCTTCTCTAGCTCCTCTCCTGGGAAGCTCAGAGCAAACTCCCAACTGATTTTGCTCCCAGAGAAGCACACTCTTCATAGGGGCACCTGGAGCAGGAGTCGAGGTCACCAGGGACCAGCGAGATGAGCCATCCTGCTTCCCGTCAGGCTGCTGAGGCTTCCCACACCAATGTGCACCAAGGGTCTGAGCGAGGCAGCCTGGGACCTGTGCTTGAGGGCGCTGATTCCCGAGCAGCAAGGGCTGCTACTCACAGAGTGGGATCTGGGACCCAGAGGCCGGCTCCTGGGGAGGGAAGGCATGGTGAGCGCAGTCCTCGTGGGCAAGGCTTGAGCAGAAGCACCTTCTGTCAGTCAGCCTGGTCCCGTAGGGTGGGCAGCTCGGGGCAGGAGAGCACCGCTGGGGGGCGCAGCTCAGAGAAGCCCTCACCACAAGTGGGTGAGCGCCTGGGCAGCTGCAGGTCCCCCTGCTCCACGGCCGACCACAAGGGCTGCGCTCACCGAAGGCACGGGGCACCTTTTCTCCCCTGCTCTGCACATGTGGCAGGAGGGGGCTGATCCGGATGGCCCCAGTGTGTGTGCAAGCAACTTTAGTTTAGACTTCAGTTGACAACTAAGTGCACGTACCTGTGTGGTAAAACCTGACGTTTTGGTGTCTTTTACATATCAAGGCAATCAACTTGCCACCTACCTCACCACTCAGTCTTGGAGTGAGATGTGTGTTTAAAAGTCGCTTCTTTCAGCGACTGTGAATTCCACAGTATGCTATAGTCGACCACAGCCCACGCCAGGCACCAGGCGGGAGAGATCTCCAACTCACTCCTCCTGACGCAACCGCGGAGCTCCTGACCACATCTCCCACTACCCCTCGCCCGGCCGCCGCTCTCTGCTTCTACAAACTGGAAGTCGGATTCTCAAGGGACTCCTAAGCACAGCATCTCTTGGGGTGGCCCCAAAGGTACAACTGGCAGAAAGCAAATATGGACTGGCTTTTCCCATTCTGGTTCAGTTACTCTGTTTTAAATAGCAAATCAGTAAGTCGACATTTTTCTCTCTGCTTCTGTGAACTCACTGTCATCATTACAGCCAGGACGCAGATGGCAGTGAAGAAATGCTGGGGGGTTTGTGTGCCTGGAAGCCATTTTCAGTCTTAAGCTCTGGTCTACTGATTCTGATTCGCTGTGTTTTAAAGTGTAGGCTCAGCTTCTGACAAAGCATCCTTCTCCATGAACACACTTTGTGTGAAAACAGAGGGAGGACCTGTGACATCCACTGAGACCACAGGGGACTGGCAGGGGGTCCACACAGGTGCAGGAAGGCTGGAGGCCTGTACGGGGTCCTGGGTCCCAGTGGGAAATCCGTAGCCGGTTGTCAGCCTGACCAGGCCACGGTGCACCCACCTGCTCTGAGTCCCGAGCTGCAGCCCGGCGCTGGGCCGTCCCCACTTCCCGACATTTTCCGCGTCCTTCTGCATCTCTCTCAGTGATGGGCAGTGTGGACTTTGCGTCTGAATGGGACCTGTGGATCAAGACATGCAGTTACTGCCCTTGGTGTCTGGAGAAATCTGAAGGCTGTGGGATAGGCCAGGGTCTCGGCTGGGTGGACAGCGTGGTGTGTGACTCTCACTGGCCTCAGGTGAGAACATGTGGGGACAAGGACCAGACACCAGGGCCACGTGGCAGTGATGCTCTCACGAGGGAAGTACTCCACCAACTCCCCACCCCTGGCCTGACTCTGAGGACGTCCCCTCACAGGAAGCCACCTTTCTGGTACAGGCTCCTCGCAGGGCACTTCCCTGGGCGGCCCCTGCAGGTGGGCACTGGGCCTCCCCTGCAGCTCTGCGCCTCAGGGCAGCTAACTATGTCCCCCGGAAAGTAGATTGCTCTCTGCTGACCACAGCCCTGTCCTGCATCTGGAGCCTGGGCGTGTTCACAGAAGGGAGGAGATCCAGGAGCATTCCCAGGCCAATGGCAGCCTGTCTTTCCAGGCAGCCCTTCTGATGGGGGCGGGCAGCAGCCATTGAAGCACAGGGGCTCTGCCTCCGGGTGGCGCTGTGGGTGGCCCAACTCCAGTGCCTTGCGTCTGAAGGAATCCAGGGTCGATGGATCTGAGGCCCTTGTTTGCTTTCTCACAAGGATGACACCTCGACCTTATTTCAGGCCATAGGTTGTCAGTAAATATGCGATATGTCTTGGCATTTTATATTTTTGAGTTTAAATGTTTAACAGCAGTCAGGACCAGAAACTTCCAGAGGCCAATCTCCTTACACATTTTTGCTTTTTACCGAGACACAGGTAAAAAGCCCAAAGCCGTCCCCAGGGCATCTCGGCCGCACTGGGATCTTGCACCAGCATCGTCAGTTGCGGGTACATGGCACCCCCCAGGCACGGTGCTCTCTGGCTGCTCCCCCGTGAGGGCTACGCGCAGTAAGATCAAGCAGGGACACAAGCACTCCTCTGTGGACAAACCCAGAGGGCTGCCAGGCTGGACAGGCCACTGAGAATCATCCCTAGGTCATGATTTAATGATTTTTTTTAGGCAGCGAGGAGATCAAATGTTTTTTAATACTTACTTTAACAGCAAAACAAAAAGATCATATCTGAAGTGTATGCTGCAGAAACTCAGGCAAGCCAATCCTATATAAAAACCAACCCATGGGGCTGGGGTTGTGGCCCAGCAGTAGAGCACTCGCCTAGCACATGGGAGGCCCTGGGTTCTGTCCTCAGCACCACATAAAACTAACTAAATAAAATAAAGGTATTGTGTCCAACCACAATTAAAAAATAAAATAAAAAAAATACCCCAGTTGTACAAAGCAGTTATTATGCAGAAATGCACTCCAGGAAAGTAGACTTAGCAACAGTTTTCCTGCAAGAAGATCCCCAACACTGGGCATCCCCACCTGATAGTTTGCAAAGCTCCTGAGCACTTTCTGCTTATGTGTGATCTTTTCTAGCCCCAAACACCTGTCTTCTCCTCTTCCCTTGCTGTCTCCCTTCCTGCTGGGAACCGAGGCTCCAGTCCACACTGGTTCAGTAAAGGCACTACCCCTGAGCTACCTCTCAGCTCCATCTCTTCTCCTAGAAGGAGGTGGGTTTCTTACCAGTGGGCAGTCAGCACCATGGCACTCTGCTCAGCAGCAGAGGGGAACTTCCTCTAACAGGGCAGCCTTGGGCTCTGCCATGATGGTTCAAGCATATAATGACAATAGAGACTAGCACTGATTGAGCACCTACTGTGTACTGGGAATGCATTAGATGTCTAGTAGGTGGTATCAGTGACCTTTACAGCAGCCATGCAATCAGATGGCTGTCCTCATACACTCATGGAGCTATGGGGCTCAGTAAGACCCAGTGGCCTGGCCAGCGTGCCCTGTGCCGACAGCCAGGGGGTCCTCTGACTTGGTGGGGCCACTTCCATGTGCTTCAGTGCTCTCCCACAGGAAGTGCCCTCAGTCAAACACAGGAGGTCCAAAGACAGAGCTGCTAGGCTTCTGGAGTGCTTCCCACCCTGGAGTCCAGGACCTAAGTGACAGATAACAGCTGAGGTCAAGTCATTAAGTGCTCTTGATCTCACTACCATTTCAAAGACACCATCTGATGCTGAGAGACCATTCACTTTTGAAAACTCTAAACTGTAAGGACAGCCTCATTCACAAAGCACACCCGCCTTCCCTTTGTGGACTGCGAGTTCTCTGTGTAATTTGACAGCAGGGAAAATACGGACTCTCAGCCCCAGCCCCAGCCCTCCCTCAGTAGGGTGCTACAGAGTCAGCTTGTCTTCTTTTCCATTCCCTTCCCTCTACGACTGTGGCACAGATCACTCCACAAAGAGCAAGTCGCTCACCTTCTGGAGTCTTCTGAAGTTTAAACCTGAGTCCACCTGCTCCCCACAGGGAGGGGTGCGTGGTGGGAGGCTGTGGGGCCCAGAGGCTTTCCACGTGACCCCCACACCCCGACCCTGAGACGACCTGAGAGAGCAGGACAGATGCCCGGCAGGCGAGGAGGGCGGACCAGAGCTTATGCAGGAATAAAGAAGCCAGGGGTGAGCCAGGCCTGGGGAGCGCGGGGTGACCTCAGGGCAGACAGACAGGCACTTACAGAGGAGGAGCTCTGGCACAGGGGCACAGCCAGGAGATGCCCTCTGGCACCAAGCAGCCTGAGCCACGGGGCACCTGCGTGGCCACTGGAATCTAGGGGACCTGGGTGGTGAGGCCCCGTGAGACCCTCGTGAAAGCAGCACTGGGGTTCTGGTGATGGTGACCGACGTGTACCTTCTCAAATGCTCACTGCTCATACTGCCCCCGTGTTGGGCCAAGAGCCGCATTCTGATCACTGAGTGTGTGCTCCAGAGCCTGGAGTCAAGTGTGACAGAACGCTCCCTCTCACACTCCCAGAGGTGTCACAGCCCAAGTCTCCCTTCTTCCAGACAGAGGCTGGCATCTTCATGACAATGACAGGTGTTCACAGAAACACCTGAAAATACGGAATTTCAAGTGAGAAGTGAATTCCAGTAAGGCCAGAGCTTTGCAACGTGCACATTCAGTAGAAAGTGTGACAGAGCCAGAGAACTCGCGGGTTGTGTGCCCACAGCCTGTTTAAGTTTTACTGCTTAGCATGGGTCGTGGTTTGCTAAGGGAGTTAATAATTAGTAATGTCTAAGCTTTTAAGAGACAGTGATTCTTAAATATAGGGAGCATTTCCTGCCACTCTCCCAAACGAGACGCTGTTTGAAGATTAGTTAAAGGACTAGGGCTTTTTAAAGCAACAGGGCTTTGCGGCAGAGAGGGAGAAAACCCTGGAGATTATCAGAGCCACAGCTGGATGGCGGGACCTCTGGGGGACTCTGCAGAGGTGGCACATGGCGTGTCCTGAGCTGAGATCCCACTCTGCCTCCCGGGTGGGGGCCAGCAGCCGTGTGGCCTACGCGTGGCGTGGTGAGCTGGAAAGCATGTCACAGGGCAGCGTGCGACAGGGCCTGACAGCCTCAGGCCCAAAGGGAAAACAGAAACCGGCTGTCTGGGGTCCGGAGGCTGGAGGTGGAGGCCAGGGGCTGTGCGGAGGCTCTGCCGCTCTCTCCAGCTGTGGTGGTGGACGGCCCTCTGCATTCCAGCCTGTGGACCCATCACGGACCTCTGCCTCCACCCTCACAGGTGCCCCTGTGTCCAAATCTCTTCCTCTCATCAGGACACTGTTCATGTTGGATAGGGGCCACCCTTCCCAAGGTGACCCCATCCCAACAATCCTATCTGCAAAGAGCCTGTTTCCAACTAAGGCCCCTTCTGAGGTTCTACTGGGGACTTCAGCATGTGCCCAGGGACACAACTCCACCCTCAAGGAGCCCCTTGCTCACAGGACTGCCTGGAACTCACAGCAAGGGTGGCTGGACAGGTCTCAACACTGGCCAGTGCACACTGTCCCCTGCAACCGCGGCCTCTTCCTGAGCAAGTTCCTCGGCCACCCGACTTTCAGCCCATATTAGTTCTGTTAGGAATGTGAATCTTGTAGAAAATGCAGTGGTTGAAAATCAGACACTGGGAAGATCACAGAGTCACATCACACAAAGAAGTCCAGGGCTTGTGACGGAAATGGCGCACTGGCTCTACCACGAGACAGCAGCCGGCAAACGGGCGGAGAGCAGGTAAGACAGAAAAGAAAGAAGCAGGCCACGCGTGAGCACCACAGACAGGACCCTGTGGCAGCCACGACTCTGGTGACCCTGGATGGCTACGGCTCACGGTTTTGGTTTTTAAGACCATGCCTGTGTGGAAGGTGTGCAGAAGTCAGCTCTCAGCTCAGGCGGCCAGTGTTTCTTGGTGCGCTGGGAATCACCGGAGCCACAGGCTGCTGGAGCCTCAGCCTGACCTACCACTGGGGAGCCGAGAGGCCTCCTTGAGGACACCCCACAGTCCACGCTCGGACGCGCTGCGGGTCCTGCTGGAGACCTGCAGCAAGAGCTCTGCCCGAAAGGGCGTCAGACCCCGGGAAGACCCTCCGGCTTCCCCAAGGAGGAGGTCGCTGGCTCCAAGGAGAGAGGGTGGGCCTCTGTGGGGAGGGGTGTGCAGGTGGAGTCCCAGAGGCCCACAGGCACACGCGGGTGCTGCTGGGAGTCGGGGGCGCTGGGGCCCAGCTGGGCGCCTGCGACTTCTCCCCCTTGGCCATCTATCTGTCTTCAGCACTTTCTATGTGAAACCAACAGTGCGTGAGACACCTGTGATGGCCAGAGCTGGTTCTTCAGAGCCTCAGGCGAGCCGCAGCAGGGTGAGGACGGAGCCCGAGTCTCTCCCGGAGGGCCAAGGAAAGGCCAGTCCCGGAGGACCCCCAGCCAGGTTCCTTCACAGAGAACACCCGGACGCGACAGAAGCCCTCAGACTTGCCGTGGGGCCATTCGAATGGCAGTGCTGTCCTCCACGCGAACGCGCGGCTTCACTTACGGCTTTCCATGTGCAGAAGACTCTTCCTCTGGGAACCCTGTCCATAGAGGCCGGACACTACCCAAGGCCTGAGCGTGGCCACCCCACCTTCTCTGCCCATAGCACAACAGAAGTCCCAGGAAGCGGGGTTCGAGGCACGGAATGACTCTGGGCCACTGTGTGTGGGACACCATGACCTGTAATGGCTTCAGGTAACAGGGCAGCTTCGCTGCAGGCCATGTCCAGAGGAGAGAAAACTGCCAGGTCTAAGGAAGCAGGAGAGGGGTGGGACTTACCACCTGCAGATCAGGGTCCAGGTGAGGGCTGCCAAGCCGGCGATGAGCAGTGCGCCCAGTGCCATGGAGACCCAGGACGCCCGTGGAAGCCTGCCAGAGTCTGCCGAGGACAGAGAGGGTCAGGGAGCCACCTGGGCTGCAGAAGCACTGCATCTGACCTGGCTCACGGCATCAGCCGTGGGGGCCAGTCACCGGCCCAGAAAAGCCTTGTAGACAGCAAGCCCTGAGCCTATGGGGCCTGGGAGGAGGCAGGGACAGGGCAGGACCCCGAGAGTGCTTTGGCTTCTGGCCACCTGCCTTGCAGCTGCAGGGTAGAAGGGGAAGGTCCCTGCCAGGCAGGAGGGCGCAGTGTCCTGAACGATCCTGCCCAGGGAGCCTGGGGTCCCACAGGAAGGAAGTGGGCACAACACGGTTTCTGCAGAAGCCACCAGAAGGTTGACCTGAGGCAGGACGGGCAGCTGGCAGAGACCCAAAGCCGAGGGCCGTGTGGTCTCGCACAGAGGAGAAAGCTGGGAGAGGAAGCCTGGCCCCTGCAGGGCTGGGGCTGGAACCGCTGCTGTGTCTCCCCGGGCGGGACCTCCCTGCTCTCATCCTGGAAGGAGGGCTTCGGGCCCCTCAAGGCCGGCTCCATGCCTCTGTGGGCTGTGAGCTGGGGCCCGGCTCTGATGTCCCAGGCTTGCTACTGACGGCTGATCAGCAGTTCCTTCCCGGCCCTCCAGCAGAGCTAGTGGCCAAGGAGAAACCCAGAAAGAGATGGAAACTCGCTTTTAAAACTTAGACCCTCTCAGCCACTATGATCCACGGGGAGTCTGGGCAAGCAGAGGTCAAGCAGTGACCGGTGGGCTGGGACGTTCGCCGTGGCAGGAAGGACTAGGTGCAGAGCCTCCGGTGGGAAGGGCTGGCCTGGACGCTCAGCCCTGGCCTGGCTCTCCTGCTTGGATGATACCGATGGACACTGCAACCTCCCCGGGTGTGGCCTAGTTGTCGGGGCCAGCCTCCACGAGGTCAGGCAGGCAGCCGCTGGTCTGGGTGGACAGACCGGGGAACTCACCCTGCCTCCGGCTGCTTCCTCTCGGCCTCGCGCCTTCTTCCTGCCCTCTGTCCCCACCCCTTCTTATGGACTCTCAGGGTGTCTCCCCCCCTGCAAGCCGGGGACAGTGTGCCTTCCTTTCCACCACCTCCTGGGCTTTCTATTGGGTGGAAAGTGTTCAGGCAGAACACCCCAACTCCCACCCCGATCCAGCTCCCCTCCCTAGGAAATGTTTTACTTGGGGGCGCCACGGAGCTCCCAGAGCCTCTGCAGGCATGAAGCCCACCTCCCTGAGCCCCAGCCTGGCAGTCCTACTGCCAGCAGGCTGCCCTGCTGTGCCGTCTTTGTACATGAGCATACACCCCGCCTCTGCCTGCACCCCCATCACCCTTCCAGACCAGCTCCTGAGACAGGGTGGGCCGGGTGGAGGTCATACACTGAGGCCATTGTCACCCTTGCCTGATGGGCAGGCCTGCCTCAGTCCCACCCCAGCCCCGTGACACAGGGTCCTGCCTGTCGTCTGCCTGGGCTCTCAGACACCTCTGGTTCTTGTGGAACACGGAAGAGTGGAGAAACACTGTTTTGTGTTTTTTTTTTTCCCTAAAAATCTTCCTGCCTTCAGTATTTACATTCAGAGAGACCCTCTGCAGATAGTCCTGAGCCGAATGTCCAGGGGCAGATGAGGTGGCTTCTGTTGGGAATAGCACAGAAGTCTTTCCTAGGGCTCCTCAGAGCCATCTCACAGGCTAAAAAGACATGACCAAAAGTACAGCAAATATTTCTGAGGCTATAGCAACAGGGAAATTTGAAAGTGGGCCCCAGCATCCTCCGTGGCCACCTGGGCACGTTTCTGAACCAGCTTTCTAGAGTCTCCAAAAGTGAGTGCACCAAGCAGCCCTGATGCCATCCTATGTACAGGGTCAGCACGGCTGCGGGCTACCTCGCCAGCCTGCACCTGGACGGTGTTTTAAACAAAAGGTCTCATTAAAAATCTCAGTGGGAAAGCTTCAGTTTTCTGTACTTTACCCTGACCAGGCGTGATCTTGTTTAAAATAAAAAGAGGATCCATTCAAATATAGAGAAAAGGTGATCGAAATTGGAGGCTGAGGAAACGCAGGTTTGAGAGAAGAGAGCAGCTGAGAAGGGGCGTCATGGCCCGAGAGGAGGCTGCCCGAGAGGAGGCTGCCCGAGAGGAGGCCATGAGGCAGCAGGAGTGGCTGGAGGGAGCCAGGGGCACTCCTGCCTTGGGCCGGAGAGCCCAGCAGTGCCAAGCCAGATGCTCAAGCAGCCGGCTCACCCTGAAGCCCACCCTGGTGCGGGGGAGGGGCTGAAGAGGTCCAGATGTGGAGTAGGGGGCTGGCCAGGGGCTGAGTCTGGTCCTGGTCCTGGGACCAGAAGAGTGAAGCGTCCCTCAGGACGGGCAGAGTGCAGTGGCTGCTGGCTGCAGAGCCGCCCGCCCTCCCTGGGGTGCGAGGCAGCCTGCCTTCCTGTTTCACTACAGACCTTTCCAGAAGGAAGGCACGGCAGAGCTCTGGGGGATGCCACGGGGGCAGTGTGGGGGCTGGGCATGCCTGGAGGCTTGGGGAAAGGGGACGCGGTGGCTGAGAGGAGCAGGTGGTGAGGCTCAGGGAAGGGCTCCCGGCATCGGCGTGGGGGCAGAAAGAGCAATGCCCTACGGCCTTCTCAGCCCAGGCCAGCGAGCGATGGTCCTGCTGTGCCAACAGCAGCCAAGTCACCTCCTCCGGCCAGACCTTGGCATGCCCTTTCATGCCAGTGGGCTCTTCTAGGCCAGGTCAGCAAGATGCCCTGCTGACCGCTATGTCTGGTGAGCTCCTCTCTGCATTTCCCATCCATGAGGCCTTCTCTCTGCCCTCAGGCTACACATTCACACTCCTGAGTGTCTTTGCTCATGGGAGTGAGCTCAGTTCTACAAGAAGGTCTCTCTCCCCTACTGTGGTAGCTAAATAAAATCCGCTTTAACTCCCCCAGTGTATAGTTTTTTATAAGAACTAGAAGCCAACTGACACACCCACCTCTGCAACTGAGTGGCTGTGTGGCCCTGAGAAAGTCACTCAACTTCTCTGTTCCCCAGACTCCTCATCTGAAGAGTGGGGATTAATCACAGTGCTTCCCTCAGAGACAACTCAGCGGATGATCAGCGGAAGGTTTGCAGCAGTGCCCAGCTGATGGCAGGCGCTCCCTAACCTCTGGTGAGGATGAACACTGTCCCTGAAGCAGAGCGGAGCGTCACCCTGAAGGACTTTGGTGAGCACCCAGTTCCCGTGGGACAGACAGACCTACAGGCAGACCCCTTGCTGCCCGGGGCCAGGGCAGAGGGGTGTGAGCTTGAAGGAAAGAAGCTGAAGAATCTCTGGACACGCCTGTTTCTGGACAGGCCGGCTGTGTGGCCAACTGGGGTTGACACGGAGTGGGAGCTCTGGGTCCCAGCCCACGCGCACTGGGCACAGAGCCCCGGGGGGACAGTCTCTTGCTAGGCAAGGTGGCCTCAGGCCCCACCCTGCCCCCCGGCAGCAGAGCTCAGAAGCGCTCTCCTGACTGACTGCGCTGAACACGGGGTGCCCTGGACACAGCCAGGAGGTGCTCACCCACGCAGGTCCGCTGGTCCTCGCCCAGCACGTAGGGGTCGGTGCACACACACAGGAAGCTGCCCTTGGTGTTCCTGCACTGGGCAGAGGCGTGGCAGGGCGGGCGCGTGAGGTCTGCACACTCGTCCACATCTGGGAAAACAGCGCAAGGTCATCAGCCGGAGGAGAGCGGCCCTCCCTGCCCCGGCCCCTCCTGCAGGCAGCCCGGATTCAGGCCCAGCCCTGGTGCAGAGGACCAGGGCTGCCACCCTCAGACCCCAGTGCCCACCTCTTGCTGGCTGACGCCCACAGGGAGAATATGGGGAGGTGCACAGGCTCCTGTTGGCCCTGCTGTGCCTGCCCAGCCCGGCAGGCCGTGGTCCAGCAGTGCCGACCTCCCTCTGCACACAGAGCCTCCGCGCATGCCCACCCTGTCCCCCAGCCTTCCACATCTCTTCAGAAGCAGCCAAGGATGGACACTGGACCCCAGGCCAAGCCCTTTTCTGCCCTGGCCACCAGCACTGGATTCAGCCTGGCCAGACTCCCTCTGAGTCAAGCACATGCCAAGACCCGTCAGAGACCTGGTCTCTGCTCCTCGGCCCACGCCCAGGCCCAGGCATCCTGAGGCCCCGGGACGGCCTTTCCCTGCCACGCCCAGGTTCACTGCCTGGCTGGTGGCCCTCGGTGGCCCCTGCAGTCCCTGCACAGCGGCTTGGCCTGTCTCTCCTCATTCCCTACAGGTGCTGGGCGTGGCACGAGGCCCACCCTCAGTTCAGCCTGATGGCACCTGAAAGACCCTGCTCCAAATAAGGCCCCTCTGAGGTACTGTGGGTCAGTCCCTCTCCAGAGGCACCCAGCTGGGTCAGGCGCTCTACGTAGTGACCTGTCCACCAGTCAGAAGCACGTCAGGAGCCAGAGCGCTGCCCGCGGCCTGGTGTTCCTCACCAAGGAAGAGCAGCAGGCCGCAGCGTCCCAGCCCCTGGAGCCCTCTGCAGGCGCCCTCTGACAGGGCCCTGGGTTTTTCACGAGGAGGAGCCAGGATCTGCATGCAGACGGCGGTGGAGGCGTTGCCCACCTCGGCAGATGTGTGCTAGTGCAAACCTCATTTTCTGTAGCACTTGGTCACTTTCATTGGTTGCAAAACCCCTTGACAACAATCAGTGAAAAAGCCACTGGCCGACAGTTTCTGTCTGTGGAGCTCAGTGCTGAAGCACCCTAGGGTCGTGACAAGGACCTGCTGGTCCTGTCGGTTCTGCACACGGGTGGATTTCAGTGAGAAGGAGGCTGGAGTAGAGAGGACCCTTGTTGATTTCCTGCATCAAGCATTCAGCTGTTCTGGTGAGGTCCTGTCACAGCAGAGGACACAGTGACAGTGGATTGGCTTAGGATCTGCTTGACCATTCATGGCCATCTACCGTAAAAGTGGACGGTCCTTCTATCAGGCACTGAAGAGTCTACTTTGTTCCCGTGATTCTTGATTTAGAGACTTTCAGTGCAGGAACAAGGTATGGTAAAATAGCTGGGTATGTAAGCGGGTGCATTTATCGCATGAGTTTTTCATTGTTGGGCCTTTTGTAATTTGTTTGTTCGAAGAATATGACACTTTGATTATAAGTGTCATAAGACAAAACCAGAGTTGTACAAACAGAAGTCGGCACCTCTCCTCTCCCCTGCCGTCTCGCTCTGCTGAGGTACTGACGTGAGCAAGCTCTGGGGTCATGCCACGCTCTCTGCCCTTTCAGGAAGACATTAAGTACACGGCACACACAAGCCTGTGTCCCTGCTTTAAAGGACGTCAACAGGTCTGCTCGCGCACTTTCCTCTGTGACTCGCGTGTTCTTGGTGTACGCCGTGGCTGAGGCTCTAGGCTGGCCACCTCTGTCAGCTGGCTCTGCAGGACAGCTCTGGGGTGGGAGAGCAGCCCCGCCTTCGAGCACTCGCCACGTTGACAGTGACGGGCAGGGGCCCTGTTCTCCACTCTGTGCCTTCACCGAGGGACTGGTTGACCACCAGTGAGCTGACCACCCGGCCATCCTCACCAGGCACCTGGACACCCGGTGGCACACAGAAACTTAGCTCCTGGGGAGCAACTGGATTTCC